TGCTACATTCCATTGGGAAGTTTCTTGCTGTTTTACAAATCAGCAAATAAAACACATATCTTTGAAAAAATTCCGATGCTTGGGCTTTTAACATATAAATGCCCTACACAAAATAAATATACAGCACAAAACTATCAACCACAAATTGCTGTACATACTATTTCTGAAACACATACCATATATAAAAGAATACCTATATATTGGTTATGATGTTTTCAGCTCTAAGTAACAGAAAAACTTAATTGTGTAACATGCCAGACAGTAATTATCTTAGGCTCTGTGGGCCATATCATCTCTTCCAGAACTACTAAATTCTGCTCTTCTAGAATGAAGACAGCTGCAGGTAAAACAGACATGAATGGTTTTTGCCTCTATTAGTGTTCTAATAAAAATGTATTTAGGGACACTGAAATTTGAATATATAATAACTTTCACATGTCACATAGTATTCTTTAATTCTTTTCAATCATTTAGAAATGTAAAACCATTCTTAGCTTGCCAGCTACAAAAACCAGTGGGCCAGATCTGAATCACTTGTGGGAAAATGTACAACTAAACCAAACCAAGGCACTACAGCAATAACGTCATGGATGTATGTTGGTAGCCAACCTTTTTTGTTTGTTTGTTTTTTGCACAGTAATTCAAAAATGTAAATTATGAAGATAATATCTAATATGTAGCTCTTCTTGTGTCTGACACTATTCTAAGTGCTTTAAAAATATTAGCTCATTTACACCTCAAAGCAATCCTAACATATGATCTCTTCTCTTTTATAGAAAACTAAGGCATAAAGAGGCTAAGTGACATGACGTGCTAGAATTTGAGCCTATGCCACGTTGCTTCTACCAGAAAGAAAAAAGTAGTGAAGAACATTTAGGATTCCCCTACAAAATACAAATGCAAGTAGCTCTGCACCCTGTTAAAACATCAATAGTAAGATAGATAACATTTCACCACATAGCATTATTTGTTTTTATTGTGTATTTTCACCTAGTTTTCAAACTAAACTCAGGCTTTTCCTACAAATAAATGTATCCCTAATGTAAAATTTAGTTGACAGCTGAACATTTTACAAAAACATTTTTAACTTGTTTCTGAAGGATTAGTTCAGTAATAACATATCTATTCGAGGTCTGACAATTAAGTTCGCGAACTCAGCCTAGAAAAAGTGCTACACACCTCATTGTTGAATATCATTATGGTCACCTTCGAAGTACTCCCTGTGGGAAGCTATGCACTGATGCCAGCACCTAGTCCACCCTTCAAAGTAATTTTGGTCCTCTTTTTCTGGAATGGCCATCAGAGCTGTTGTCGTATTATCCTTGAAATCTGGAATGTCATCAAAATGTCTTCCTTTCAATATTTCCTTTAACTTCACGTAGAGAAAGAAGTCACTGGGGACCAGATCAGGTGAGTAGGGTGAATGTTTCAACGCAGTTATTTGTTTACTGGCTAAAAACTCCCTCACAGACAGTGCCGTGTGAGCTGGTGCATTGTTGTGATACAAGAGAGCCATGAATTGTTGGTGAAAAGTTCAGGTTGTCTAACTTTTTCACACAGCTTTTTCAGCACTTCCAAATAGTCAACTTGGTTAACTGTTTGTCCAATTGGTACAAATTCATAATGAATAATCCCTCTGATATCAAAAAAGGTTAGCAACATTGTTGCAACAAGTTCACAAACTTAATTGTCAGACCTCATGCTTGTGTATGTGTAACTACATATACATGTAAACACACACACACACACAATGCCAAAAAATATGAATACACATTTTAAGAAAGGAAAAAACTATTTTAAAATTGTAATATCAATATATACTAATAACAAAAGATGAGTACAAAACACATTTGAATTCTGCAATTACAAGAGGTGCTCAAAGTGGTTATAATCAGCATAATTTTAACATAGTTTTTTTCCTTTCTTAAAATGTGTATACATTTTTTTGGCACCCTGTGTGTGTGTGTATGTGTGTATGTGTGTGTGCACGCATGCATGTAATCTCCATTTACAAATGCCAAGAAAGAGGAGAAAAAGATGCATGATAATTCTTAAAAATATTATACTTAAATATACATTATATTAACAATAGGAATAACTGCTAAGACTTAATGTGAAATATTTTCATATACATAAAAGTTATTTAACTATAATATTTCCCTATATACAGTTATAGATGGATTCCACATGCACATCAAATATCCACAATCTGTATCTTATAGCGCACGCACACACATCCTACATACCATGTTTCCCCCAAAATAAGACAGGATCTTATATTAATTTTTGCTCCAACAATCTACATTGGTTCATTTATTCATGTACAAAAATCTACATTTATTCAAACAGTCATGTCTGGCTGATGATCTTAACTGGGGCTTATGTTTGGGGTAGGACTTATATTACGAGCATCCTGAAAAATCATGCTAGGGCTTATTTTCCAGTTAGATTTTATTTTTGGAGAAACACAGTAGTACAGGACTCTTCACATGTGTTTAATTATGTTGCCTGATTATTCAATTTGTGCTTTTAAAAAAAAGCTTCTTGTATCTATAGACAGTTTCAGCTTTCTTTCAGTGTTTGTGTGTCTTTATTTTTAAGTAAATGTATTGGGGTGACATTGGTTACTAAAACTATGTGCGTTTCAAGTGTATAATTCTATAACAAATGATCTATATATTGCTCTGTGTTCACCAACCAAAGTCAAATTCCCTTCTGTCACCATATATTTGACCCCCTTTACCCTCTTGGACCTCCCCCTTTTGCCCTTAGCCTCTGGTAACAACTAAACTGTTGCCTGTGTTTATGAGTTTTGTTTGTTTCTCTTGTATGTTTGTTACTTTCAGTTTTATAGTCCACATATGAGTGAAATCATATGGTTCTCCACTGTTTCTGACTTATTCACTTAGCATGATAATCTCAAGATCCATCCATGTTGTCGCAAATGGCAGTATTTCATTTTTTCCATTGTTTATATGAAAATATCGGCTTTAAATGACACATTAGACCATAAGGACATAATCGACAGTTATAAAACATTTTATCCCAGAACACCAGATTATACAATCTTTTCTAGTGCACATGGGACATTCTCAAGGATAGACCATATGTTGGGATATAAAACTAGCCTCAGCAAATTTAAGAAGATTGAAATCATACCAAGCATACTCTCTGACCACAATACTTTGAAATTGAAGATTAACCGCAAAAAGAAAGTGGAAAAAAAACATTGGTATGTGGAGATTAAACTACATGCTACTAAAGTACCAGTGGGTCAAAGAAGAAATAAAAGGAGAGATCAAAAGACACACAGAAACAAATGAGAATGAAAATACAACATGTCAAAACATTTGGGGGGCCGGCAGAGTGGCATGTTGGTTAGGAGTTGGTTTAGGATGCTCTGAGCAGCAGGGCCGCATTTCGGATCCCACATGAGGGCCAGTGACACTGTGCCCTCTACAGCTAAGATGGTGAACAACAGCTCAACCTGGAGCTGGGCTGTCGTGAGTCGCTGGCGGCGGTGTAGGCTGCAGTGGGGTTGGCCAGAGGCTGGCGTGAGCTTTCGGGCTGCTGTGAGCCTCCGTGAGTGGCCAAGCAATGGCCAGTGAGCAAATCCCTCACCCGGGAAGAGCGCAAGGATAACACCAACATGGGCCAGTGAAGCTACGTCCTCCACAACTAGACTGAAGAACAAAGAAACAGCAACTTGTCTGTTCCCCTTCCCCAACTCCCCAATGCTCTTCCCTCCCCCAATTCCCCAATAAAATCTTTAACAAACAAACAAACAAACAAACAAAAAAACAAAAACTTTTGGGATGTGGCAAAAGTGGTAATAAGAGAGAAATTTATATCATTACAGGCCTATCTCAAGAAACAAGAAAAATCCCAAATAAACAACCTAACGTTACATCTTAAAAAACTAGAAAAAGAAGAACAAATGAAGCCCAAAGTCAGCAGAAAGAAGGAAATAATAAAATTAGAGCAGAATTCAATGTCAATCAAGGACAAAAAGACAACGGAAAAAATTAATGCAATCAAGAGCTGATTCTTTGAGAAGATTAATAAAATTGACAAACCCCGTGCTTCAGCTTTTAAAAAAAAAATCCTTGGAATTAGATTTCTGCAACAGGACTTCTAGTAACTATTCCCTTCAGTACAGATTCTCTTTGAATTTTTGATAAAAAGCTTTCACATATTTAAAATATCTATAAGGTTCTATCCCAGTATCAATGATCTGACATTCACTGAAACATCACTTCTGATAAAGGCTTCTGTATCTGGTGCAATCTTTGCAGTTATCCCCTTTGAGTGTTCTAATATTAGTCCAACTGGTGTAAAAAGATTTCTGAGTGTTCAGGACACTGACAGGATTTTCTCATTCATTCGAGCTATTGGATGTCTAGTGATGGCTCACTCCCCTAACAGAAATTTTCCTGACATTCATTTTACTTATAAGATTTCTCTCCTGTGTGATTTCTATGTTGTACAATAAAGGTTTCCTCTTGTTTTATAATTTGTGGTGTTTCTGCCATCTATGTTGTCTGGTATTTAGTAGTGTGACATATGATAAGAATTTCCTCCTGGGAGGGGGTGGGGATGAGGGATAAGGGGAAGGGGTTAGACAGCGTAAATATGTAACTACAATATTGCCACAGGGACATGAAAGACAGTTCAAGGACTATAATTAATAATGTTGTAAATATTTTGTAGGGTGTCAGGTGGTCACATGTCTTGCTAGGGAGACTGCATCATGGATGGGGAAGAGGCTTAATAACTGCACTGTACACCTGAAGCTGATGTTGTATAATATTGTATGTCAAATATAAGTGAACATATATATATATATATATATATAGTCATGGGACATAGAGTATAGAGTGGGAGTCAAGGGAATTGTAATAGATATGTATGATATTGGGGGGAAGTGGGGCAGCGGATTGGGGGAGGGGGGTTGTCACTTCGAGGGGAAAAAGTATAACTATTGCACTGTGTTGTACAGCTGAAACTAATTCTAAAAAATGTGTATTTCATAATAAAAAACAATTAAAAGAAAAAAAAAGAATTTTCTCCTTTATAGATTTTCAGAATTTCTGTGTTATTTCCTTTCCGTGCAGAAAGACTGTGGCTGAATATTTCCCATATATGATGATATTTATAAGGTTTTTATCTTGTGTGAATTATCTGGTTATTCTGAAGGGTGAACTCAGACAGAAGAATTTCCCAATTCATACTATTTATAAGGTTTTTCCTTCTGTGTGTGTCTTCTGATGTGCAGTGAGTTTTGATTTCTGGATAAAAGTTTTCTTACACTCTTGACATTCATAGGGTTTCTCCCCTGTGTGTTTTCTCTGATGTATGGTAAAATGTGACTTCTGAGAGAAGGATTTCCCACATTCCTTACATTCATAGGGTTTCTCTCCTGTGTGAGTCCTTTGATGTAATCTGAGGACTGAATTCACAGAGAAAGATTTACCACATTCATGACATTCATAGGGCTTCTCCCCTGTGTGTTTTCTTTGATGCTTAGTAAGGTCTGATTTATAGTAAAAGTTTTTTCCACATTTATTACATTCAAAGGGTTTCTCCCCTGTGTGAGTTCGCTGATGTACTGTGAGGGCTGACTTCTGGTAGAAGCATTTACCACATTCATTACATTCATAGGGTTTCTCTCCAGTGTGAGTTCTCTGATGAGTTTTGAGGTGTGAATTTCTAGAGAAGAATTTCCCACATTCCTTACATTTATAGGGCTTCTCCCCTGTATGTGTTCTCTGATGTACTGTAAGGTGTGATTTCTGGGAAAAGGATTTCCCACATTCCTTACATTCATATGGCTTCTCCCCAGTGTGTGTTTTCTGATGTACCATTAGGTACGCCTTAACATAGAAGAACTTTCCACATTCAGTACATTCATAGGGTTTCTCTCCTGTGTGTGTTTTCTGATGTTCTATGAGGTGTGGCTTCTGGTAGAAGGATTTCTCACACTGATCACATTCATAGGGTTTTTCACCTGCATGAGTTCTCAAGTGTCTACTGAGAGATGACAGGTGGTAGAAAGTTTTCTTACATTCTTTACATTCATAGGTTTTTTCTCTGGTATGAGTCTTCTGATGTCTTGTGAGGTCTCTATTGCTAGAGACAGATTTCCCACATTCACTGGGTTTATCCTTTGAATGAGTGTGCTGATGTACTATGAGGGCAGACTTCTGGCAGAAGGACTTTCCACATTCCTTGCATTTATAGGTTTTCTCTCTGGTATGAGTTTTCTGATTTGTGAGTTCTCCAGTCCTAGAGAGAAATTTCCAAATGCATTAATGTATAAACCTTTTCTTTTTGTCTGCTGTGGGTATTTTCCAAATAACTCTGAGAATCGATTTCTAGAGATTTTCCCATATTCATTAGATTCATAGGGTTTATTCAACTGTGAATGTTCTCTAACATGCATTGTGGTTTAACATTTGCATTATATTCTCAGGATCTCTCAAATGCCTGAACTCTACTTTGTATAATAAAGTCTTCCATATTGTGCAACGCTGAAGAATCAAAAGACTGCTTCAAAATTTGAATCTCTTGATCCTGAATAAGGTTTCTATTATAAAAAAGAGCTTTCCCATTTGGATTATATTCTTTGAAATTTGCTCCAGTATTAGTTTTCTCACAGTTAGTATTAACTAGTGCTTTCCAACTTCTAGTACCCTCATCAAGACCCTTTCTTACAAAGCTTCCAGTCTTAAAATTGAATTCTTGAACTTGCCTTGAATTTTCAGCTTGGCTTTCCTGGTATCTTGCTCCTAGGTCATGAATATTCCATAGGTCTTCTACAAAGAAATCCAAAATTTAATACTGTATAACAGTAATAATTAACACATTATTATGCTCGTAGAGTTGATACTTAGGCTTCTGGTCAATTTCCCCAAATGAAGGAACACTCAAATCTATTCTATTTGGTTTTGAAAAAAAAAAATCACAAACACTAAAAACTGGTATAGCAGACAGGGGAAGGAATGTGATTATAAACCCAAGTACCTCTTTACAAATATGACCTTAAAAACGTGGGATAAAGTTAATTAAAAAAAATGAACAGAGATCAGAGAACAAAAGATATTTAAAGTGCCGCTGAACAGGAATGCAGGAGTTATAGAGAATGCTGTGAGCCCTTTAAGGGCGATCAACAGTAAGTAGGTTGATAAAAAAGTTAGTAACAACTGTGTTCACTGGAAACATCAGGGGAAAGATATCCACTCAAACCTAGTTTACAATGTTTGGATTCCTAGTAGTTAGCAGATGATAAACTTCTACTGTATTTCCTCTTTACCCACACACAACAATTTATATGTCAACACTAAAGTGACTTTCTCAGAACATCAATTTCTTCATGTTTAGAGGAACAGTCCTATAGCTTGGGCTTTCACTCTTCATCTAGTTGGCTTAATTTTCAGTGGGACGAAAGATCCAGGAACACATATGTACAAAAGGAAAGATTTTTACAAAGCAGAGTGCAAGCCATCCATTTAACAGGATGCATTCCCAGTTGCAGCACCAGAGATTTTCAATCCTGACGACGAGGACTGCATCTCCAAAGCAATGTTACCTAGGACTCACAAGTCTTATTCTGTTTTCATAGCTTGGCTCCCACATCTCTGCTTAAATTTTTTATATGATCTTTAAAGATTAATTATTCAACATCATTTTAGAACCTTTACTGACCTTCATATTTATTCATGTTTAAATGAAAGTCAAAGATTATGAGCAGAGGCTTGGGGTTGGAAGTTCATGCCATTTGTGGGGGAAACATAAGAACAGTTATTTGATAGGGACTTGTGCAAGGTTAACTTGGATATACATTAAATAATATCCTATTTATGGAAGACACTTAAGAGAGCAGATGAAGTGATGACTAGCATTTGTTTTGGGGTCACAAGGAGAAATAGGATGCAAAAAAGGGCCAAACTATTTTTTGATAGAAAGTTAATTTAAGTGTATTTAGTAATAGAGAGTCTGAGTAAGTTTACCATGATAGGCTAGCAGCAATGTAAGTTTGCAGCATTATGAGGATTAAAAATAAAAATTAGCTTCTGACTCTGAGAAAGAAGGGAGTTAGATTAGTGGGTCCATATGTAAGATGATAAAATATGGGACCAGAATACAAATAAGACAAACACATTGGAAATGTCAATTTTAGGAGTTCTAAGCCTAAGAAGCAAAGCTTTGGTCTTAAGAAAGGATAAGCCCTTGAAGAAGTTAGTATAAAGATCATAGGAGAGATTATAAAGAGTGTCTGTCTTATTAACTGAAATTGAATCTTTCAACAAGTATCTAGTGAACTAATATATACCAGGCATTATTCTTGCACATTATTCCTGCAGAAGTGCACAAGTCAGAAAATACAGGAGGGCCGGACGAGTGACGTGTTGGTTAAGAGTTGGCTTGGGACGCCAGCTCTGAGCAGCAGGGCCCCGGTTTGAATCCCACATTAAGGCCAGTGATGCTGCGCCCCTACAGCTAAGATGATGAACAACAGCTTGACATGGAACTGGGTGGCTGTTGAGTCGCTGGTAATGGCAGAGGCTGCAGTCCCTGCTGCAGTGGGCTGTCATAAGCTATGGTGAGTGGCTGGCAGGCAGCGTGAGTGGCCGACAGCCAGTGTGAGCTGCCAAGAGCCGGCGTGAGCGGTTGTCTGGTGGCCGGCGACTGATCTGCCTCACCCGGGAAGAGCGCAATGATAAACCAACATGGGCCAGTGAAGCAACGTCCTCCACAACTAGACTGAAGAACAAAAGGAAAGCAACTTGTCTGTTCCCCTTCCCTGATTCCCCAATGCTGTTCCCCTCCCCCAATTTCCCAATAAAATCTTTTTAAAAAAAGAGAAAATACAGGAAAAGCATTTAAGGAAGCAAAGTGAGATTATCTTTTTTGTATGGTTTTTTTTTAATCTTAGTGTTATACAGTATTATAACACTCCAAACGAAGTGCAGATTTTAGGAAGGAGAATCAGTACTTTGTGTAAAAGACGAACAACATCTAGAAGTATCAACTCTGAAATAATATAATTGATGAAAGGCATAATGATTTGTAATCTGATTTCAGAGTTTAAAGAGAGAATAGGAAGTTAAAACTGGTGCTGAAAATAACTAAGGCTTTTTGTTGCTAATAAAAAGAGAGAAATAACATTTGAAAAAAATGTGTAAGTAAATTATAAACACTTTAAGATTATAGTTGCATATTTCAATGCAGAGAGTAACTGGGAATTCTAGAAAAAAGACAAAATAAAAGTTTAAGTCAAGTTTAGTATATAGGAGAGAGAAGTAAGCCTATAAAAAATGTTGAACAGAGGAATTTCGGTGGAGAGAATGAAAAATGAGGTTTGATTCATGTTGTTTACATATGCAGATCAATTCCAGAAGTATAGGGCATTTTAAAAAAAGATTGTTGAAAAAATATTTCAAAAAGCAAAGGGCACCAACCTCCTCACTACTAATTACAAGGGCTATAATTTCTCACTCACCAGGGTAGTTCTGACGTGGAAATTCTACTTCTAATATCCATGGCTCCTTTCCTTGCTTCAACTTGAAGACTGCATTGGGTTTATTCACACAATAACCTGTTAATAGAAAATATAAAGAAAATCATACAAATTGCCTAAAATTTAGGGACTCTGTAGTATAAGAAAGTATAGTTGTAGGAGCAGAACAATGAAGGTCCCACTTAGGCTTGTCAAATTTAGATTCTTTCAATCAGGGGGGTGGGGACTGAAATATTTTTCTAGTACCCAAAATGGATTCATCAACTTTCACCCCTGAAACAAACCTGGTATTATTCAAACCCACAGATGCCTTCCATGTTCCACAACTGGGAAAGGAAATGCAAACTACTGGGAGTTGCACACAGGAAAGTCCTTCTCACCCACTGAGACTAGGTGACCATAGTTCTCTTGCATCACTTCCCTGTACAGGGTCCTCTGAGCAGCGTCAAGTAACTTCCACTCCTCCTGGGTGAATTCCACAATAACATCCTTGAATGTTACTGGTCCCTGTAACAACATATTTCAATTCAAACTGAAGTGATCAGAATATAGTACCATTGAAAAGACATGTGTAAACTAGCTCTTAATGTACTAACTATAGAATTTACTCTGGAAAGTTAAGACACACTGCTATTCTGTACCCTGCCTTATACATAGATAAAATATTTTTGTTCAATATATATTTACTGAGATATCACTCCATGCCAGGAACTCTGCTGGAGATACCAAGATGAATGAAAGCAATCATTATTGTTATCAAGGAGCTTACATTCTGACAGTGAGGCAAAGATGCAAATACTTCAATGCAACCAGCAGAGCAGGTGCTATGACTGAAATCTGTATAAGATATAAGTGATAGCTGGAGAGAGTTGTTTGTACTTTGTATTATTAAGTTAGATTTTTATTAGGTGGCCAAGCTGACTAATGTAAACTTCAGGAATGAAGAAAACAGAATTGGCAAAGGCTCGGATGCATCAAAAATGGCATTTGATACAAATAAGACAGTCTGATATGAGAACAGGGTGTAAGATCAAGATTAGTTAGGTGATACTCAAGTCAGGTTACGAAACATGGAATAATTCTGAATTTGTCTTTTGGGCCATTAAAATGTATTTTGCACACCCACTTAATAGATGTCTACTTATTAATAGATCATATATTTACATCTATTTATTAAAAATTGACAAGTTTTAGTTTTTATATTTATATAAAAGAAAAATATGAATCAATATTTTGCTATTTCAAACTATGTGGACTGTCTTACACATCTTTTGGATGTTCACCCTTATCATTTTGTAGATGCAAATACAGATAATGAGGAGCCAAGGAAGAGACTGATGAAAGCACTAGAGTTATGTGAGTAGATTAGTAGTTAGAAGAAAACTAAAGTAGAAGAGGCAAATAACACATCAGAAATATGGAGTGTTAGAAAATTAAGAGACTATGTAAGAAATAAATATTTACATTAAAGTAGCAGCAGTGGGGGAAAGAAGCATAATATAACTTTGTAATTAATTGGAAATTAATAACAACCAGGAGAAAGGGGGAGCGTAACTCCCACAGTGTCTTTATAGTTTGGTAATGGCTAGTGCTAGAGCCATAATGCTAATTATTTTCATTTTGCATTTCTGCTGACAGAACTATTTAAGGCTATGCATTTTCCTCTGATAATTGCTTTTTAAAATTCCATAAAATCTTAAATGCAGTATTTTCACTTGAAGAACATCTTGGATATAAACTCTTGCTTCACACTTTTTTTCTTAAAGATACTATTTTACTACTATTGTTTTATATATTTAAATGTTGCTACCAAGAATTATGTCAATTTTATTTTCTTTCCTTGCCAAGTGACTTAGATTTTTTTCCTTGAGGCCCACAGGATATTTTTTCCCCTTTGAGTACATCTAGAAGTATTTTTTTAAAAAGATTTTTATTGGGGAATTGGGGGGATGGGAACAGTGCTGGGGAATTGGGGGAAGGGGAACAGACAGGTAGACAAATTGCTGTTTTGTTCTTCAGTCTAGTTGTGGAGGACGTTGCTTCACTGGCCCAAGTTGGTACCATCATTGCGCTCTTCCCGGGGGAGGCACATCAGTCGCCGGCTTCTGGACGGTCGCTCACTGCGGCTGCTGGCCGCTCACGATAGCTGCTGGCTATATACGGTAGCCCATGGCAACCCACTGCCACAGGGGCTGCAGCCTACGCCATCGCCGGCGACTCACAGCAGCCCAGCTCCAGGTTGAGATGTTGTTCAGCATCTTAGCTGTGGAGGGCAGTGTCACTGGCCCTCATAGATGGGATCCGAACCAGGACCCTCTGGCATTCCAAGCCAGTTCTTAACCATCGCGCCACTTGGCCGGCCCTACATCTACGAGTTTTATTAGATTCGCTTGTGTTTACCACTCTAGTCAATTCTCTCTGGCACACAGAGAACCTTTTCAATAACTAGATTCAGTTTTCTTTTCTTTGTGAAATGTTTCCTTGAATTACAGTTTTAAATAATAGTTCTCTCATTATTTAGTTTTTGTTATTTAGAGAATCTACTTGGTCTTTCTTCTATTTCTATTACTCTTTTCTTCTTCCTTCAGTTCTTGTTTCTTCCCCCCCACTACAGTCTCTTTCCATTCCATTCCTCTTTTATATGTCATTTATTGTACTTTCATCGATATCTTCTCTCCCTTAGATGCAATGTAATGTAATCTTTTTGTCTGAGATGACTGTCTGTTCTGCTATTTTTTCCTGAGTTAACATGCCTATATTTTATATTTACTTATTTTTCTGTTTCTATTGTGAGTCTTCAAGTTCTGGTTCTTAATGTTCTTTCCTATCAAATTACTTTATTTGGGCAAGTTGCATTTTCCTCTACTTTGTGTTTGTTTGGGGAAGAGTATTTACATCAATTGAAAAAGTGCTAATTCATGCTTAATGCTTTCCTCTTATATTGGTATTGTACAATGTTGAGTAACTAATTTTGTTCATTAATACAATGAAGATAAAAGTTGATTTTATGGTGGGAAGGAATGAAAGGGTTACTCTAGTTCTCATTTAAAAAGCTCTCTTCTGTTGGCATAGCATGTTCACATTCTCAAAGAAAACAGCCTCACTGAAGGTGGTGTCTTTCGATTCTGTGATACTATGTTTTTTTTTAGGACATCTCATTTCAGTACTTGTTTTCTTATTTGTCTTCACTACCAAGCACACAAAGGATTCCTTCCTTTCCTCTGAGTTGTCGTCTGCTCCAAGCTGCCACCTGTGCACATTCTAAGTCCCTTCTTTTCAATTCCCAGTGTCAGTGTTTAGATCCCACAGGTCTCAGAACTCTTCTCCATCTTTCTCCAATCAGGGTGAGAGACTGCTTCTGGCAGTAAGCCTACTTGATCTTTTGTTCCCTTACAGCTATGACATCACCATCTTTTTTCTCCCATCTATCTCCTGACTTCCTGCTATGGAGTGAGCTCCAAGCTGCTTATGCTTCTTCTGACAACAATCTCCCAACTTATACATAATTTGAAGTTTCCTGAATCCTAGCTATACAGTAGGAGCAGGTTATGGTATAGAGACTTTTGTATTTTACCAACTAACATTATTCTATGGCCAACAAGAAATCCACAAAAGAAAATGAGAAAGAAAAGAATAAGTTGGACAGAAGGAGGAAATAAGTTGAATTTTATTCATGCTGTGCTTGAAGTGACTGTGGAACACAGAACTGGAACTGTCCATTTTGGCAGATATACATATAAGTAAATTTCCACAAATAATATTTTCATGTGTATGAAAAATAGGGTTCTAGGAGAGTCCAAAGAGAAGAATCGTGGGAGCAGCAATATTTGAAATAATGGTAGGATAAAGTAGGCCAATACCATGAAGTCTGAAAAAACCCATTTCAATGTAAGAGTAGGCCAAGAGGAGAGTGTTAGGGAGCTAAAGAAAGATTCACAAATAAGGACCAGTTCGAGTTCAAAATGTAAAAAGTTCAAATTAGGATAACTTAACTTGATAAAAGCACAGCAAAGGAGTAAAAGTTGCAATCAGTAAACAAGACAATTTGAGAAAATTTTGGAAGATCTAGAATTCACAAGAACAAAATAAGAGAAACCACCTTTAGGACACTCATTATTTTTATTAAATTTATTGGGGTGACAATGGTTAGTAAAGTTATATAGGTTTCAAGGATACGTTTCTATACTACATCATTTATATATTGCATTGTGTTCATCACCCAGAGTCAGTTCTCCTTCCATCACCATATTTTTTTATCCCTTTTCCCTCTTCTACCACCGCCTCTCTCACCTTACCCTCTGGTAACCACGAAACTGTTGTCTGTCCATGAGTTTCTGTTTCTTTGTCTTGTTCTTCTGTTCTTTCAGTTTTATATCTGACATATGAGTGAAGTCATGATTCTTGACTTTTTCTGTCTGATTTATTTCTCTTAGCATAATAATCTCAAGATCCATCCATGTTTTCCCAAATAGCATTATTTCATAATTTCTTATGGCACAATAGTGTTCCATTGTGTATATGTACCACAACTTCTTTATCCAATCATTAACTGAAGGATACTTTGGTTGTTTCCATGTTTTGGTCACTGTACATAATGCTGCCATGAACATCGAAGTACATATATCTTAACAGATAAATGTTTTCAGATATTTTGGAGGTAGATACCCAAAGAGAGATTGCTAGATCATATGCTAATTCTATTCTTAATATTTTAAGGAACCTCCATACTGTTTTCTATAGCGGCTGTACCAATTTACATCCCCACTAACCATGTATAAGGGTTCCTTTTTCTCCACAGCCTCTCCAACACTTGTTATTATTTGTCTTGTTGATGATAAGTCATTCTAATAGGTGTGAGGTTATATCTCATGGTTGTTATTTGCATTTCCCTAATAGCTAGTAAAGTTGAGCATTTTTTAATATACTTGTATCTGTTGGCCAATTGTATGTCTTCTTGGGAGAAATGTCTGTTCGGGTCCTCTGCCCATCTTTTAATTGGATTGTTTGGTTTTTTGTTGTTGAGTTGTACAAGTTCTTTATATATTTTGGGTGTTAGTCCCTTATTGAAGGCGTTGTTT